ACGTCAGCGGGGCGGAGCGGAGCGGAGCGCTGACGGAGTATATGGAATCTGGGGGTTACGGGAAAGCACGTATCGTTCCTTTTCTTGTCCTGCTGCCGTGGGGCGCCTCCTCCCTCCCAACCCCGTTCTCCCCCACTATGTGTGCTGTGTGCATTCTTCTTCCCTTTGCCACATCATATCTCTGTGAGATGGGCTTTTCAGCTGCTGCTTCACTGAAAACAAAGCATGACTTGAGAGTGGCAGTATCAAGCCTGCAACCCCGTTTTGAGAAACTGTGCAATGCAAAACAGGCTCATTGAAGCCACTAATGCAGGGATAAATAGACCTGTATTGCCAGATGGATTTCACTTATTTTCTTTTATTAACAGATTGCAGAGTGGCACATTAATTTTTTCTATCTTTGAGCTTGATACAAATTTTGACACAGCTGCATTTTTATTTTCTTTATTTTTGAGCTTGCTGTTATTTGATGTAGATAGTTTGTATTTAGATACTACTTGTTACTTCAATAAAATTGGAACATTTTAAGATTGTTTCATATTTCATTAGCATTGTGTTGGGGCGATGGGGACAGGCGGGGCTTGAAAATTCCCCCTTGTCCAAAGTGGGGAATGACAGAAAAAGTTTGAGAACCACTGGTTTACACAATAAACAATAAAGCTTGAAATAATTTTTATTCTCACAGTACAGAAAATGGATCATTTGAAGAACCATTTTTACCTTTTATTTACTATTCTTCTAAACTTCAATCAATCAATCACTGAATTAACATTTAATTAGTGCTTAAAGTTTTAAGGCTTGACTAAAGATATTTAAAGCAAAACAGAAATATTAAAAAGCAAAAATAAATAAATAAATAAAGCAGTTGGTGAAATATATATAAATTCAAGTAGGATCGTAAAAATATGTCAGATTCTGAGAATCACTGTGCTGTTAAGTTTTAACGGCCAAATTGCACAAACATCTCAGAGATTTTAGCTTTTTAATCCAGAAATTCAATGTAAAACTTAATAAAAAAAATTAAACTAAATTAAATTAAATTAAAAAAAATTAAAGCCGACGTGAATTACCATTGATCTCCTTTATTTAACTGATTGGATAGTTGAATACTGTTTTCCTTCAACACAGCAATAAGAGATGTATTTAAGTTTATCAATATAAAACGATTTAGGCTTAATATAAAAAAAGAATAAATGTATTATGTTTAGTGTAAGAGATTAAAGCTGCAACATTCCACTAATGTTGCCATTAGCAGACAATATAACCACATTCATTTTGGATAAAGTCTGATTTGGAGCACTGCCTGACATGCAGCCATCTGGAAAAGAAATATATTCTGGTTGCCAGATGTTTACAATTCCAGACAGAAAAACACATTAGATCCTGTAAGTTTTCAGCAAGACAACTAGAAGGGTCATTTTGCAGTCCAGGTTTCATGAAGCTAATCGTCAATACCAGACAGCAGGAGAAAACGTTCCCAGCAGGCTCTTCATTGGAACTTGGGTTCTGAGCAGTAAAGCTTAGATAAGGCCTCATGAGGCATTGATCTATCTGAGCTGATTGCTTCAGCAAAGGGATCATTTCTTGGAGCTACATGAGTTCATGAAACCACCTGCTGGCTGAGCTGATATTAACAGTCTGCAATATAATCTCTGATGGCTACATCTATTTTTTTAACCTTTAAGGTCCTCAGATATTTTATTTAATATGTATCTCTTTTTTCATTTTGCCTTTTCATTATTACAAGTGTATGATAAAATGTTTTGAATATTTTCTGTGAGTACATTTTCTAAGGAGATCACATGCTAAAAAGGTAGGCTGTGTTTGTTTTTATGTTATTTTATAGAAATGGCTTAATGAGCTTCAGCAGACAGAAACAATGCTGGTAGAACACAGAAGAGGGCGCTGGATATGTTTCTGCAATGTAGACAATTATGTGAAAAACAGCAGATTTTCATTTAGAAAGAAGAATTTTTAGACATTTTTGGTTTAAATAGATTCCTTTCTTAATGCTTCTCCAGCCTTTGAAGACACCTGATCAGAGTGACTGAACACTGATGGCAGCTGAGAGCCTCTGATGGATGAGATGTTATGTTAGGACATGATGGTTATCTGCGCTCAGGTGGAACCATGACTGTGAAGCAGGGTATTCCTTAAGAGAATTCCTTAAAACCAATTCAGCACTGAGATGTGAGCCTGCTGTAATATGGAGAGATATTTGTGCCATCGGTTTGAGCGCGCAGGAACCAATCCGAGCGCGCAGTGAGACAACACGCGCAAAGCCAGTCTGGCGCGCGCTCAACTCTGTAAAACCCTCTCAACACACACTGTTCTCGCGCTCAGTTTCATCTCTGCGCGTGCTCGAATCCGTCTCTGCTCGCGCTCGACCTGCTCTCTCTCCGCGCTCAACACCAGCTGTGCGCTCGGCTGTTTCTCCGCTCGCTCGACTCTCTGCGCTCGCAACTTCAGCAATGTATGTAAATGAACCATACCATCAGCCAATCACACCCAGCTTCTTTTCATCCAATGAAAGCATTCCTTCCTTCTTCTTCTTCTTTTTTATCATGGCGGATCGCAAGCAACTTTAAGGTGCATACCGCCACCTACTGTTCATGATTGTGTAGCAACATTGTTTTACATCTATTAAATTCTATTTTTTAATTTTGTATTCTGAAGATAACTAATTAATGCTTTCCTTAATCTATAAATATCCTTTATATTTCCTTTATTTCCCAATAATCCTTTAAGACTCCATTCTTGGCCTGTCCTTTCAACTACTCTTCTCAATTTTTCCCTTTCAGGTTCATATGTTTTACAGTTCATTAATACGTAAGCATTCGTTCCAAATACTACACCGGGTTAAATGAAAAAATAAAAATAAAAACACAATCAGGAAAATCAAACAACTCTTACAGTTATTTTGTCAACATTCCTAAGATAGTACTATAAAATATCTTGAATTATCTCAAATAAACTTCAGTAAAACAGTTATTAGATCATTGCCTCATCCATCTCTTTTACCTGCTATTGACATGGATTTAAATTTGCTGTTTTAAAAGAAAAATAAGGAGGATATTTCAGGGTCAAGTATGGTTCAACAGTATATAGATAAAAAATATTATGGATATGTTAAATTTTTTATGGATGCTTCAAAATATTCCAATATTAGGAATGGTGTTTTCAGCTGTTAGGATTCCAGTTTGTGCGGTTGTTTTAGTGTTTTCTTTTGTTCTCCCTTTCCACTACTAGATGGTGCCCTCTCCTCATTTGGACCTCCTTGCACACCTGCGGCTCATTGGGTCATCACCAGAGGAGTATTTGAGCAGCGGGCTGTCACTACCTCGACATCAGATTGTTTGCCAGTATTGGGTACTCTAGCCAACCTCAGATTAGCTGAGTCTAATTATTGCCTTGTCTCCAAGATTCTAAGCTTGCCTTTGTCATTGTGCTCCGGTAGGATGCCCTCCTGATCCACTGGATAAGCATGGACCTTCTACCCCCCCCTGGAAGGAATAATTTGAGTCACATTGAGCAAGGGGAAACCTCCAACAGATCCGTTCAAGTCTGCTTCAGGAAAACCAGGTGACCGTCCGCTCCAATGCTCCTCTGGACCCAACGCTAGTCTGCTTGTCCGCCCACCAACGAGTTCATTCATCTCTGGATAAAACCCCACAAACTGGATCTTTAGGAAAACCAAGAGCCCCCCAAACGTGAGTCCCATTCCTGCAAATTACAAGTCTCAGTTATATTTCCTACAGGCCTTGAACTGATCATTGTGATCTCCCCTTCAGAGTTTCCGGTTCCAGTTCATCAGTCCGCTGACGTTCAACTGAGTTTACCCTGCTGTATAACCTCTCACTCTGATTTTGTTTACCTACAAATAAGCCTGTTAACTTTTACCTTTGTTTTTCTGAGTGTTTCTCTGCATGTGGGTTAGAACCATAAAACTCATCATGACACCAGCATGTCTCCTTATTTTCACAGACCTTGAAGGATCCAGTCTTGGTAGACCGCGTCCTTGGAGGACGCAGCCCATGAATTCGAACAGAGCTATCTCTGCTCTACCAGGTTTTTGTTACCATTAGCATAAAGAGTGAAAGAAAGAGAAATAACAGCCGACTCAAATAATGCCCACTATGCCTGATTGCCAGTCCAGTGGTGATAGTAGTCATACTGCTTTTGTATTTGGGATTGGCATTTTAATCTCTCTCTACAATAATCTAACAACTGATAGGAAGTGTTACAATATGAAGAAACAATGTAATAATAAGAGATTTATCAAGAGGAGATTAGTCCATGTTCAACAGTTAAATCTATCTCCTGTATATGCATTAGTATCTGTTTTTAAAAGCAAATTATTTTTCTTAAAATCTATTTGTAATGTTTATCTTGTATTTCTAATGATTTTTTAATGTCCAATTATAATTTTGGCTTTAATTATGTAATGCATTAATTACAATTATTTTACATAGGTTTGTGATTAGGAACTTAATGGTGATGCATTATTATCCTCATCAACATGTTCTGCACAGCTGCTCCCATTAGATGGCGCCACTGATCCTCTGACTCTCCCACATCTATCATCCACTATCTGAGAGACTGTCTGCATATTCTCCTTCAATACATCAATGCTCAATACCTTCTTTGTATTGTTTTCCTATTTCTCCTTAGGTAAAGCTTAATTTAATAATTTTTGGTCTGATGTTGCTTAATTCATAAAAATATTTTTTCTAAAAAGTTCTTCTTGCTTAAAGTGTTTTTTGCTGAAAAACTGGTGCTGAGACCTTAGTCCCAACGACCCGCTAGAACCGCATAAAACAGAAGATGAGTTCTAGTATGTTCTATAGTTTCAAGCAGTTGCTTAGGTAACTGGTATTCTATGAACAATGTGGTTAAAGTTTCCTCAGATAGAGGCAGCCCTCCTCACTACTCAGGAAGAAGGCGGTTTAACTTGAAATAACTTCCTCAACAGAAGAAAAAGTCAGACGAGAGAGAGGAAGGATGAGGGTAACACCTCTACCATGTCTACTCTGTAAGTAGGAAGGTTTTTAGCTGGTTTTTCTAGTGTATTTTCTGATGAAAATAAATTCATGACAAAATAATTTGGCTGAAATTATATAAAAGAGATGCAAAGATTTATAACAGCTTTAAGAAAATGTCTGTTATTTTATTTAAATTGTTTTGAATCAAGAAATCAGATCTACATGAAAATGTTGAGTTTGACTTTTTTCTACAGTCTATAGAGTCTCAGTGAGCATTTAATTAGAAGTTTGAAGATTGAGTTTAATGAGAATACTTTTATTTTCAGGGCTGGCCTTCCTTCACTATTCTACAAATCAACAAGGTTGGTAATTATGTATTTTATTATCTAAAATAAAATGCAGTTTGCATTTTTGGTTCTTTTGAAAATAAAGTGGCTGGTTGTTTATTTTTCACATCTTTCCAGCTGCTCTGACTGTGAGTCCCAGCAGATCTCAGTTCTTTAAAGGAAACTCTGTGTCTCTGAGCTGTGAGGAGAACAACAGCTCTGCTGGATGGACTGTTTGGAGGAACACAACCAGAGGACAGTCTGAGTGTAAAGGTCCATGGGGGAAACCAGATGGTCTAAGATGTTACATGACCTCCTTGTTCCCAGATGACAGTGGAGTTTACTGGTGTTCCTCCAGAGAGGGAGCAGCCAGCAGCAGCATCCAGCTCACTGTCACTGGTAAGATCAGACTGTGGAGTTAGTGTTGATGAAGCTGTGTGGAAATGGATGAAATGCTGTAGTTTGTCTCTGTGTTGAGGTGGATCAGTGATCCTGCAGAGTCCTGTCCTCCCTGTGATGGAGGGAGATGACGTCACTCTGAGCTGTCTAACAAAGACCACTCCCTCCAACCTCCCAGCTGCTTTCTATAAAGATGGCTCCCTCATCAGGACTGAGCCCAAAGGTCACATGACCCTCCACCATGTGACCAGCTCTGATGAAGGCCTCTACAGGTGTAACATCAGGGGTCATGGAGAGTCTCCATCACGCTGGATCTCTGTTGAAGGTCAGAAGGACCAACATCTTTCTTCCACTGTCTGGGTTTCAGAGAATGAAGTTATTTTTATTTCTTGTTTTTTCTTCAGAGAAACCATCCTCAGTCTCAAGAAATCTCGCCTCTTATGTTCCTACCACCAATCCTCCTTCAGATTCCCAGTTTCCTCTCTCCTTGATCGCGTCTCTTTCATGCATCAGTCCACTGGTTTTACTGCTGATGACTCTACTGATAAAACAAAGATGTTACAAGAAAACTGGAAGTAAGACTTTTGATTTTTACATTGTTTGTTTTTGTTATTCACTTTATTTTATGAGGTTTAAAGCCTAATTTCCATTTTAATATTTAAATCCCTCTCTGTGCCACAATAGGCTCAGCTGAGGTCAACGAAGCTGAATGGGATATGGTAACATATAGTGATGTAAGAATATTAACGCGACATCTATGGAGAAAAGGACCAACAGAAGGTAATGATTCTGTGTATGTGGTTTTATGTGGAAATTCTCCTCTTGGAGTGGGGGTTTAGGACTAAGAATAGTGGAACCTGATTATGTATCTGTGCTTGTATTTGTACTTGCTGCAGAGAGAACCTTTTCATGTTAGGACATTTTATATCAAATATGTTATATTTATAACTATAGAAACGGAAGCTATCATCCTCAAAACGTGCAGCTACATTTTCTACATTAATATACAGCTTGTTTACACCTTACTGAGAGTGGTTTTCCATTTTTTTATTTTTGCAAAATTTTCAGATGCAAACTCAAACAGCTTAATCTTAATACAAACATATCTACTCTGGTCTAGTTTCTTACTCTACTATGATCTATTGTGGTCATTATTTCCATTTGCACATTGACAGAAGCTTTTCAATTTTTGCATTGCAGTAATATTTGTTAGTTTGCACGGATAGGTGTGAGGTGCTTTTTGGTTTCCACTTAGTTTCACACGCCTGCCTCATGAGCAGCAGAGGTGTTAAAAAACTAAAAAAACTAGTCTTCCTTTAAACGATTAACAACAGCATAGTACATTTATTCTAGTGGTTCCAGCAATGTTTGCAATATGCCCTTTTTTCTAACAGAAGACAATATGGCTACAGATTATTCACTTAGGAGGGATGATGGTTTCAGTTAAGGTAAAATATTGATCAGAGAAAACAGGATATGAAAACAAATCTATAACTATACGTGCTAAACTAACCAACTGAAGCTGCCATGGTAATATATTCCTCAAATAGTTAAAGCCGAGTAGAGGATCGAGTGCATCTGTACTCCTAAGAGGGAATCCTCAGAGAATACATGATGTGATTGTTTTGGTCTCTGATGTAAAGTTACCTACTGACACTAAAATACTCTGTCCTTCAAGTAAGACATAAATCAGCCCAGTTCTGGACAAGAAAGGCCGACTGAGTTTTCCTACCTCGTTAATGAAAAGGAGGAGTTGGAGTTAGCACCATCTGTCAAAGTATTAATTAGATTACATCAAAACCATTTTCCTACTTCTGAATAATTAGAGCAAAAGACCTGACTATTTTCAAGTGCCAAAAACACTAATTTATGTTACTTAGTCTCATTCACATACAAACAGAAGTGTGAATAGATCAGAGAAAACGCGACTGACTGGCAGACTGAACGGCAAAAAAACCCTCTCAAAACAGCAATCTCATCAAACTAGAATTCTTATTTTTTATTTCCGCTTATGTTGAGCCTAAGCTTGTGCTGGAATGGTAGAATCCTTAGTTACATCCTAAAATGCAAATATTAGCTTCAGATAAACCGTTTTCAGACAAAGACTACAACTTCGGAGATCCTAGATCATGGAGGACACGTGTAACAGCAAACGCATGGATGGCTCGTCATTAAACCTCCAGCAACAGTAACCGTTTCATAACAGAGTTCCTACATGAACATACAACTCTTTAAAACTCATTAAAACCAAGCTTAAGTTCAATTATTTAACTTTTGCAGTCAGTGTCAGTCCTATGGTCCTTTAATAACCCCAAAGGATTACTCTGTCTGACCACAAGTCTAATGTGCCCATACAAGAGTATGGTAAAAGTACATGTTAGGTTGTGTCGGGTAAGACAACATGGATTGTGGAGTACAGGTAAACATCATGTTTGCTCCTACAGTCAAAGGTTGATAGGAAGGTTGTCCAAACTGGTTGTAAGTGAAAACTTCTCGAGCCTTGATGGTTCTTGGTGATCTCGTTAGTGTTGTGACATCTTCCCCTTGAGTGATAGTTTGAGGTACATTATCAGAATCTGGGACAACTGGTACAAAACTATCTATGTCATTACCGTCAACAGGAACAGCTTCACTCATAGCTTTCATTGCGTGCTTTGTGTCTGATACTGGATACTTCTCAGCTGGTGATGATAGGCACTGTCCATGGTGCTGAATAGGGTACAGGAGCAGTGATTAGTACTTTTGGACATTGTACTTCGACATGCAAGTCGTTACATTGCTGCTGTGTGGTAGATCGTTGAATACTTTGTCTAACAGGTTAAAATTCTGCTGTGGCTCTGAGTTCAAGCTGTGATTAAAGTTGAGATCTTGGGTTCAGATCATACACAGGTACACTTTTCCATTATTATGTGTACTCCTCCTCTTCATCAGATTGTTCTGACTCTTGTGTGATAGCTTCCTAAGTTCTCCTTAGTTCTTGACTTTGTCCTTGTTCAATGGGTAAATCATTGACTGTAATAGTAGATTTCTGTGCAAGACTCGAATACTGCGCTCTACAGTGTTTGATTCCTGGTCTTTAAGTCTGTCAATCTTGTCCTTTGGATTACGATGATATTATTACTTCTATAACAGGTTTTCAAGGGAATTTACTGGCTACCAAGAACAGAGAAACCTCCATGTAGTGGTTCTCCAACAATGCCTAAGCAGGCTGGGGATTGGTTAACAATACTCAGAAAGGGTAATCATGGATCTCTGCCCACTGGACACCACAAACCTGTCCAAGTTTCTTACCGGTTTCCCCCACTCAGTGACGAACCCACTGAGAAGCCTACTCTGGTGATTGGTGGCTTCATAGTGAGAAACGTGGCATTAGAGACACCAGGGACCATAGTCAAATGTTTGCCGGGGGCCAGAAAAGGCCACATCAAATCCTACCTGAAACTGCTTAAGCATAAGGTTAAATACAGTAAGATTGTTATTCACGATGACCAGTGGTGGAAAGTAACAAAGTATATTTAATTGATCACTGTACTTTTTTGAGTATCTTTACTTTACTTTAGTTATTTTTAGGTGGATAACTTATACGTTTCACTCCACTAGATTTCAAATATTGTAGTTCCTACTCCATTACATTTCAAAGTTAAATATTTTACTTTGTACCCCACTAAATTTCAAGGAAGCTGCTAGCTTTCCTTGCCCTGTGATGGACTGGAGACCTGTCCAGGGTGTACCCCGCCTCTCGCCCATTGACTGCTGGAGATAGGCACCAGCACCCCTCGCGACCCCACTCGGGACAAGCGTGTAAGAAAATGGATGGATGGATGGATGCTAGCTTTCCTTTTTTCTGGCCTGTTTAGACCATTCTGGTGTAGTGGTCTAGTATTGGTAGCAGGTGGTTCTACGCATCATTACATGCGGTGGTTTCTGAAAGTTACAAGGTTTTTAAAAATTACTCTGAAAATGATATAGAAATGTACTAATACTAGAAGATAGAAGATGTTTACTTTTTAATACTTACGTACTTTTAAATCTACGTATGTACTTTTGAATACCTTAGCATTTTTCAAAAGTGAGTACTTTAATACTTTAACTTGAGTGTATGTTTGACAGAGTAAGTTTTACTTGTAGTCGAGTAAGATATAATAATAATAATACATTTTATTTAGCAGCGCCTTTCTTGACACTCAAGGTCACTTTACAAATAATACAAAAGATAAATAAAAAGAGATGAAAATACAAAATACAGATACAGGAACATAAAAAACAAAAAAACAATCATGGATAGGGAAAAGAGCAGTATATTCACAGATAAGCGAGCTGGAACAGATGGGTTTTGAGTCTGGCTTTGAATAAGGGGAGAGAGTCAATACTGCGGAGGGCGGGAGGAAGTGAGTTCCAGAGCTGGGGAGCAGAGCGGCTGAAGGCTCTGCTCCCCATGGTGACAAGTCGAGCTGGGGGTACAGTGAGGTGGATGGAGGAGGAGGATCTAAGGGAGCGGGAGGAGGTGGCAATGTGAAGGAGGTCTGACAGATATGGAGGAGCAAGGTTATGGATGGCTTTGAAAGTATAGAGAAGGATTTTAAATTGAATTCTGAATTGAACTGGGAGCCAATGGAGTTGGTGAAGAACAGGGGAAATATGATGGAAGGAGGGGGCTCTGGTGATGACACGAGCAGCAGAGTTCTGAAGTTGAATTTTATGGAGGGATTAATGAGTGAGGCTGAAAAGAAGAGAATTGCAATAATCAATACGGGAGGTGATGAGGCTGTGGATCAGGACAGAGGCAGTATGAGTGGTGAGGGAGGAACGGAGACGGTTAATGTTGCGAAGGTGGAAGTATGCAGACCTGGTAATTTTGGTAATGTGAGACTGAAAGGAGAGGGAGGAGTGACCTGAGGGGAGGGGGAGACTAAGGAGTTGTCAATGGGTAGTGAGAAACTTTTGATTTTTGATAGGGTGGATTTAGTGGCAACAAGGAGGAGTTCTGTTTTATCACTGTTAAGTTTAAGGAAGTTTGAGGTGAACCAGTCTTTAATTTCAAGTAGGCAGTTAGTAAGGGACAAGGGGGGGAGTGAAGAAGTGGGTTTACTGGATAAATAAAGCTGGGTGTCATCCGCATAACAGTGAAAATGAATGTTGAATTTCCGAAAAATACTGCCAAGGGGAAGAATGTAGGTGATGAAGAGGAGGGGGCCAAGAACTGAGCCTTGAGGAACACCAGAAGTGACAGGGGAAGGGTGTGATGTGAAACATTTGAGCTGAATAAACTGAGTGCGGTCGGAGAGATATGAGCGGAACCAGTCAAGAGGGATGTGAGAGATGCCAAGAGAGGATAATCTATTGAGGAGAATGGGATGAGAAATGGTATCAAAGGCTGCACTGAGATCGAGAAGGATGAGGATGGAGAGGAGTCCAGAGTCAGCAGCTATAAGGAGATCGTTTGTGATTTTTATTAGGGCAGTTTCAGTTCTATGAGAGGGGCGAAAACCAGACTGGAAAGGCTCGTAAAGACTGTTGAGGGTAAGAAAGGTGTGAAGTTGAGCAGACACAATTTTTTCAAGTATTTTAGAGATAA